TTAAGTGCATGCTTAGTAAATTAGCATCTGATTAAAGAGAATGGCAAGAAAAGTCACAGACAGGGAGCAAATATTTGCAAAACATTTTCCAACAAGGACTTGTATCTAAAGGATACAAAGAACTCTTAAAAGTGAACATAACAACTGACTTAATTGCAAAATGGAGGGGAAGAAATTAAAGAAGATATACGATAGAGATGACAAAAGGGTCATCATATGTCACTGGATAATTGCAAATTAAAACCATTTCTATTTATGTATAAATGAGTATAAAGGAGAAGTATGAATAAGGATAAAACCATTTCTATTTCTTTATCAAAGTACGAAACCATTTATACTTATTAAAATTACCAAAAATCCAAAAATATCACAAAACCAAATATTGGGAAGGATATAGAGAAAGGAACGTTTACTCAGTGTTACAGAGGACACAGAATGGTACCACCACCGAGGAAGATAGTCTAGTATTTCTTACAAACCGAAACAGGGAGCCCAGGTGGCTTAGTGGCAAGAAGCTGTGCAGCAATGCCAAAGGCACGCGGGTCAAAGCCACCAGCTGCTCCACAGGAGAAAGATGGGTAGTATCCTCCCGTGTGATTAAGGGGCTCCAAAAACCCGACGAAGGATCAGCTATGGTCTGGCTCCAAATCAACAGTCCACCATCACCACAACACAGGCTTCACATGCAATCTAACAGTTGGACTTCTTGGAAAACTTACATCCGTAAAAACATCATAAACCAATGTTTCTTGTAACTTATTGTCATCGGCTATATCAGCAAGTTGTTTCCAACTCTCAGTTGCACACAACAGAAACACTGCCCTTGACCTACACCTGAGCTCACTGTTGTAGCCACTGCGTTACTCCACCTCTTGAAAGGTTTTCCTGTATTCGCTGACCCTCTAAGGAGTTATTTTCTCCAGAGACTGGTAACCTTGGATTGTTGTTGTTATGTGCTTGCGACTCATAGCGACCCTATGTACAACAGCCCTAAACCCTGCCCTGTCCTGTGCCAATTGCACTGTCTCTGACACACTCATCCCGATTACCCCACTCAATCCACCTCATAGAGGGCCTTCCCCTCCTGCGCTGTCCCTCTACTCTCCCCAGCATGATGTCCTTCTCCAAGGGCCGGTCCCTCCTTACAACATGCCCACAGTATGATTACATGCCCAAAATGTGAGAGGTCTCACTATTCTTACTGCTAAGGAGTATTCAGGCTCTTCTTCTCCAAAGACAGGTACGTCTGACTCCTCCCAGGCCATGGCACAGTCAAAACCTTCCACCAGCACAACTTAAAGTCATCACCTCATCAGCCTTCCTTATTTATTATCCAGCTTTTCACAGGCATAGGAGGTCACTGGAAATACTGTGGTTTGGGTCAACTGCGCCTTAGCGCTCAAAGTGACATCTTTGCTTTTAAAACTTTTAAAGAGGTTGGGTGGTTTTTTTTTTTCTCCGCACAGCAGATTTATCTTGAAGCAACCACGGTATCTCTCAGAAAGTCAAAAGATAAACTGTGGTCTAGTCACACAATGAAATATTCAGTAATAAAATATAAATGCGCTATCAAGCTATAAGACGTGGAAGGAACTTTTAATGCAGATGGTTGAGTACAAGATAGAAGTCTAATGATTCTAGCTACTTACCCACAAAAATAGCAAAGTATGTAGATGTTAAAATGATCAGTGGTGGCCAAGAATTTAGGGACAAGAAATAAATAGGTAAGGACACAAGGGACAGTGGACATGTGACATTGTACATTTATCCAAACCAAAAAACTACCGGAGAAACTGAATCCTGGGAGACCAGGATGCTAACTCACAGAGCTGCTAATCAAAAAGTCGAGAGTTTGAACCTACCAGCTGCTCCTCAGGAGAGAAAGGAGATACTCTGCTTCTGCAGAGATTTAGACCCTTGGAAACCACAAAGGTTGACAGCTCTGAAAACTCCAGGGAGCAATTCTCTCCTCTCCTGCAGAGCGGCAAGGAGTCAAATAGAAATGGCAGCAGTGGCATTTTTTAAAAAGTTAACTACTTATGAATGAATGTTGGTCCACCAATAATAAAAAATACACTTCACTGTGGCAAGATACCAAGAAGAGGAGAAACTGAATGCAGTAGAGAAGCTTATGAGAACTCTAACTTCTGCATTAACTTTTCTGTACAACTAAAACGTCTCTGAAAAATTAGTCTTTGAAGGTTGAAAAGAAAATACTGTGAGGTTACATTTTAAAATTAGGGGAGAAAATACTACCATGATTTTTAAAAATTGAAAATTCATCTCAAAAAGAACACTTAAGTGTTATTTCCAGAATTTGGAATTTTTTACACTCTGTTTGATAAAAGCAATTTCCTAGAAATAGGCTCCTCCAACAGTGAAGGTTGAATATCTATTAGGAACATGAACAGAATCACTAAGGAAGGAAAAGATTTCTTTTTGGGCTTTCGAATGTCTTTTCAATGTCACATCTAAATTGTCTAGGGAGCTTTTTTAAAATTACACTCCCACTTATCTGGGAAGAGAGTCACAAGAGGATAAAAAAACTCAGAAAAACAAAACAAACCCAAACTCACTGTTGCTCAGTCAATGCAAAGCCACGCTGGCTGCCCACAGGACACACTGCCCCGTGGAGTTTCCAAGGCTGTCACCTTCTTGGAGGCAGACCGTCACCTCATTCTCTCATGGAGAAGCTGGTAGATTTGAACCACCAAACTTTCAAGTAAACGCCAAATGCTTTAACCATTGAGTCACCCGCAAAGAGGAACTACTGACCTCCACCAACTCCAGTAAAAACATAACCCAACAAAAATCACCAGACTGAATGGAGAAATTAAAGGTCACAAAAGGGTAGCACTTTCGTGATGGTAACTCTTCAGTGAAGTCAGGCTGTTATGTACCACTGAATTGGAATCAACTCACATCAGACCCTCCAGCAGGTTTTCAGAGGCGAGAGGCTAGACTTTCTGAGGAGGAATGTGGCATAAGAATTAGAGAAGTCTCAACAACCGACTTTATACAGATGGCACAATCATGCTCGTCGAAGGTGAAGAGGACCTGAAGCATTTGCTGCAGCAGGCCAAGGACTGTAGTCTTCAATAGGAGTTGAAACTCAACGTCAAGAAAACAAAGATTCTCACTCCTATGCCAATTGGCAATCCCATGATAGATGGAGACAAGATTGAGATTGTTAACAATTACAGCTTGCTTGGCTCCACCATCAGCGCTCTTGGCACCTGCAGTTAGGAAATCTAAAGATTAATTATGTTGGAGAAATCGGATGTCAGGGACCTCTCCAGAGTGCTGAAGAACAAGGATGTCTGTATAGAGACTAAGGTGTTCCTGGATCTAGGCCATGGTCTTCACAATTACTATATATCAGAGAACTGGACAATGACTAAAGGTAATAGAAGAATTGATGCCTTTGAGTTGTGGTGCTGGAGAAGAGTATTGAATGTACAACAGACCACCAAGAAAGTAAACAGGTCTTGCAGAGGATGAAACCAAGTTGCTCCTTGGAGGCAAGGACTTTGAAGCTGTTTCACATACTTTGGGCATGTGGCCAGAAGGGACCAGTCCTTGGAAAAGGATGTCAAGCTTGGAAGGGTGGAGGGACAGCACAGAAAAGGAAGACCCTGGATGAGATGGATTGACCCGGTAACTGGGGTAATGAGGGTAGGTGTGACAGAGTGAGATTGGCTCAAAACAGGATAGGGTTCAGAGCTATTGTGAGTAGGGTCGCTACAAGTCACAGGTGACTCAACAGCACCTAACAAATAGCACAGGAAGAGACTGCCCTTCTTTCTCCTGTTGAACAGCTGGTGGATATAAACCATGTGCTTTTGGGTTGGTAACGCAGCTCTTTACCACTAGACCACCAGAGCTCCCTTGAAAGAGGTACAGGAATTATTATTATTATTATTATTATTTTCAATGAACATCTACAGGGATTTTGGAATTCCATTCATTCATTGTTGTATTTTTCTCCCCACCCACTCACCCCCACCCCCCAGTTCGCTAAAAGAGGTACAGGAATCTTAATGAAAATTTTGCATGTGTGTATATGTGATTTTGAGTGTTGATTAGCAGAATTGAGTAGAAATGGTAATAAAATTTTTGGGGAAAAAAATTAATCATTTAAGTGATGCTCCCAAGAAAGAATGGGAGGATCTGGAGAAACATACAGACATCTTCAGAGTAGAAGGGGAAAGAGAAGAGGGACTGAGTGTCGCCCCCTGGGAACGCAGGAGGGAAACGCAGAATTGAGGAAGTGGATACAATATGAAAACTTATAGTTAAATGTAAATACTTAACTATGCAATATAAACTATTACACTGAGAAGTAAACCAAAGAGCTGACAAGAGAAACACAGTGAGATTGCAAGCGAGTATGAGGGTTCTGATGAGGCTGGTAATCAAAAGGAGTATTTAAATCATTTGAGGGAATATTCTATTTGTGCAAAAGACTATTAAGTCAATATAATCATGGCAACACATCTTTATGTAAAACTTTCCTTAGTAAGTCATTATAATCATGTAAGCAAAATGAGTGGACTATCAAAATATAAACACTGCAAAAGGGCATGTGCTGACCACTAAAAATGAATTCATCTGAACCACATGACAAGCCGTGGCGCCTCAAATGTGAAAGAGGGGGCTAACAGCGGTCAAAGAACAGGACACTGAAAATATAACAAACCAAATCCAGTGCCTCAGCCACCAGGATGTTTTTCTACTGTCACCTGTACAGGGTTTTCTGAAACCAGAAAGCCATGGTCCCATGAGGCCCCGCTGGCATCTCTAGGTCCCAAATTGTAGACAGTCTTGGTTTCAAAACTTCTATTTCAGGAGAAAAGTCAAGTTACTGCAACAATCATTGCTTTGGCATTCTTATTTCTTTTATATTTTTACGTCCCATCTTCCCAGTCACATATATACTGTTCTCCTGACATAGTCCTAACTTAAACATTTAAATAGCCCCATGCTATACCCCGACTTACCGATATCGCGGTTATTCTGAGCGAGTCAATAGTGGAGTGTTTGAACAGGTACCACAGAACAGGCCCCACCTCCCCCGTAATGAAGCCCTGGGCCTGAGCCGACGACGTCGTGCAGACATTCTCGACTATCTTTGCTGCCATGTGATTGACAACACGCTCCTCCTGGAGTAAAGGACAGGAGGAATACAAAGGTTTTCATTAATGTAATGTACACGTACACATCACTTCTCCATTAGCTATTGTCTGACACCATGAGACAGTCATCTACGCCCTGAGCACATTGCAGCATTTTAGGAGGTGTGGCGACTCTTTAGTCTACTTCAAAATTATTAAAAACAGAACTTGATTATGGTAGGTATAGTCAACAGTTTACTTCAGAAGGAAAGAAACATTAGTGTAGAATGAGTCTAAGGACCTAAGAGGGGTGGGAGAGGCTAGAAGCAGAGGGATGAGGATGTGCAGGGGGAGGGGGGATAATCATGGGGTTGTACAATTTGATGGGTGAGGTGGTGAGGGAAACTGAATTTGTTCTTTAAAACAATGTATTTGAATTCTGTAAATTAATAGAAATTTTTGTTAAAAAAGCAAAAAACAATTTTGCACAATTCTCTAATTATCTTGATAAAAAATAAAAAGGCTAACAGGATCAAAAAACAAACATAAAATCTGGAAGATCATTTTGAAAATCCTCGAGCAGAATGGGAAAATGCTCACAAGTCACCACCCGGGAACGAGAACGGTGTGTGTCCCGTCAGCGCAGGGGTAAGATGATCTTCTACGCAGGAGAGGGGGTGGCAGTTGCGTGCGGTCATTGCCGACGCTCCAGCAGATTTTCAGAGAGGCAGCTGACCGCATGGGAGGAGACTGCCCGTCCTCCTCCTGCAGAGCAGCTGCTGAATTCGAACCACAGGCCTTTGGAATTGTGAGAGGAGTCCAAAAGGAAGCACTGCTTCAGCACCTAGGTGATGCTGTTGTAGTTACAGTTATTGTGTTATTGATGGGTGCCAATGAGTTGATTTCTGACCCACAGTGACCATCAAGGACAGGGTCGAACTGGCCCAGAGGGTTTTCTAGGCTGAAATCTTTACAGAAGCAGACTATCAGGTCTTTGTTGGCCGACCTGGGGGCTACTGCTGATTCTCACTGTTAACAGATACAATCAAGTTAACTCTAACCCTTTAAACACGAGTTGGAAATCCTGCCATTCTCACAATCTCCAATAAGCTGGAATCCACTCTTACAGTCTGTCGGTCGGTTCATCTCATGGTGGGTCTTCTCCTTTGCACACTCTACTTGTCAGGTAGGATGTAATCTTCCAAGGTCTGGCACTTTCTGACATGCCCAAAGCTTCAAAGGGACAAAACGTCACCATCCTTGACCTTAAGGAGAAGCCTCAAATCTTCTGAGACCCAGCAGAGGGAGATCCAACTAACCGTAGGATTATCTGTGAAGTACTTAACCTCTGTGCCACCAAGGCTCCTAAGAACTACATCTCACTGCTGTTAATTCTGACAGTGACTTTCCCATCAGGGCTCCAAGGCCATCTTTCTCCTGCAAAATGACTGGCGGAGTCAAACCACTTTTCAGTCAACACCCAACTCATTACACAGTACGCCCAGGGCTCCTTTAGAACATCATAGCCATGAATAAAACAATCAGAAGGACCAGACTACTCCTTTATTCACTGTGTGGATCACAACCAAGTGTGCTAACCTTAAGAGGAATGGCAATCCCAGAGCACTTGATGGTGCTCAAGTGAAATCTATACTTGGACCAGGAAGCAGTCATCAGAACACAGCAAGGAAACACTGCATGGTTCAAATCAGGAAAGGAGTGTATCAGGGATACACCTCACCTCCATAACTTTTCAATCTCTATTTGGAACAGATCATTTAGGAGGTTGAAGTTTATGACGAGCAATGTAGCATCAGGATTGGAGAAAGACTCATCAACAACCTGCATTATGTAGCCGACGCAACACTGCTGACTGAAATTGAGGAGGACCTCAAGGGTAGGACCTCAAGGACTGTAGTCTTTAATATCAGTATCAAGAAGGCAAAGATTCTCACCCCTGGGCAAACTGGTAGCACCAATAATGGAGAAGAGACTGAGATTCTTAACAGCTTCAACTTGCTCAGTTTCACAATCAACAATTTTGGCACCAGCAGTCAGCAAATCAAAAGAGGAACTGCACTGAAAATCTGCTGTCAGGACCTCTCCAGAGTGCTAACAAGCAATGATGTCAGGCTAGAGACTAAGGTGCACCTGATCTAGGTCATGATCTTCACAATTACTTGCTATGCATCAGAGAGACAATGTATAAGGAGGGTATAAGAATGACTGATGCCTTTGAGTTGTGGTGAAGAAAAGCACTGAATATATTATGGACTGCTAAGAAAACAAACATGCCTGTCTTGGAGAGGGTGAAATCAAGCAGCTCCTTAGAGGCAAGGATTCTGAAGCTCTATCTTACATACTCTGGGCATGTGACCAGGAGAGCCAGTCCTTGGAGCAGGACATCATGCTTGGAAAGGTGCAAGGATAGCACAGGAGGGGAAAACCCTGGATGAGATGGACACACACAGTGACCAGTGACTGGGTAATGGAGGCATCTACTTGGCAAACTTTGAAAGTTAACAGGGCATGCCTACATGTGCAATCCAACGCCTCCAGTTCCCCCCCACCCCCCCAACCCCCCGGTAATCAGGCCTACCCAGTCCAAGCTAGGTTTCAATCTGTCATCTCCATGGTTGCTATGAATCAAAGTCAGCTCTATAGCACCAAACACAAAAAGGTCCACTAATGTGAAAACAAGATAATCTATCAGGCCATAGATAAAAGCTAGATCCAAAAAATCTATCAGGTCATAGATACAAGCTAGGTCCACCACCCTGGGGACAAAAGGGATTTCTTTAGATAACAAATTTAAATAACAAATGTTCTACTTCGGTCCCACTTGACATTGGTGTTATTTCTACGTCAAAATCTTTTCCTTGATGTAAGATGGGAAAGGAGGTATGTATTGGGAACACCCTCAAATGCCTCACAAGTGTCAGAGGACTCATTCCTAATGTTAAATTTCTATTTATATATATTTTAAATATTTTTTTTAATATCTATATAGTTTTTGCAACTACCATTGGTTGGTGTATCATTCCACATCCTAATAAAGTCAATGAGGCTCTCAGGCCAATTCAAGCTGTCATTACCTGAAATGAGCTACCTCGCCCGCTCTGGACTGCCTGTGGGACACTATACAAACAAGAAAACTGGTGCCGTTTTCCACCTCATTAACTCTTTGAAAGGGGCAACTGAACTAAACGAGTACCTGTCATCTTAATCAAATAATTGTTTCATCATATCGCGAGAAGAAAAGCTATGATAATTAGGGGGCTAAAAAATGGCTAGGCTTCTGAATAAAGAGGTGTGCTATGTTTTAATGGTGTTAAATGGACCTAATAATGTATTACTAGCAGTTAAAAAAGTTTTATCACCGACATTTCAATCTGTGTTCCTGCTTTTTCTAAAAGTAGCATCTAAAATAAAGCGCTCCTCTTTCTCCCATGTAAACAGCTCATGAATTCAAACTGTCAACCTTCCTGTTAGCAGCCCAACCCACTATACCACCAGGGGATCTTTTTACAACACAGTGAGCTAAATATCTCAGAAACCATTCCTCTCCGAAATCAACAGGAGAGCGAAAACCAATAAACCAACCTGGAAGGCATCCATATGTTGGCACCAAATCCCTCACCAATAACAAGGTCTTGTTGAGAACCCTCAGAGGTGCCCAGCATCCTGCAGCTGGTTTGTAAATGCTCAACAAGGTGAGGGGAATGAGGGCAAAGGCTGAGGGTCCACACACGTGGAAAGCCAAATGAAGACCCCCGGCCACCTGAGCCAGGGGCTGACATGCAAGAGAGGAGGAGGAGGAGGAATAAACAGGAGGGCTAAGAAAGTCATGAGAAGCCAAGAGTAGGCTCATGTCAAACTCAACTCAAACCCTCGGCTGTTAACTTGGAAACAATTCATAACTGACCTAGGCTATACATCAAAGGAGAGGAGACGGCCCGTCCTTCCCCTCATACCCCCCAAGTCACTGGCGGATTCGAACAGTCAGAGAGGCACTGCTCATGGGTCAGCAGTGCAACTCCCTGAGAACTCCAAGTCATCGCCATGGAGCTGGAACCTCCACAGAGATGACCCTCTACCAAGTTTTAAGGAGTTACACATCACGTGGTAGCACACCGCCCAGCTTTCTTCCATGAAGTAGTCAGTAGATTTGAACCTTGGGCCTTTGGGTTGGCAGCAAAGCTCCTTACCCACTAGGGCAGCTGAGCTCCCTTCCCCAGGGTGAGGCTCTTCCAAAAAAGTCAGTTGCTCTGATAGTTCACAGTTGCTCCAACAGCTAACATCTTCATTATCAGCAACCTAATTTTTAACCAAGAATACTGAGCAATTAGAAATTATAACTGAAAAGAGAAAACTGTCAAACCACCATGGGAGGGAGGGCGTGTTCAGAGACAAGAGCAAATAAAAATATTTTAAAAGATAAAGCTTAAAAGAAAAATCCAAGTTTCCTATCAGCAGACATTCACTAAAGAAAATTCTGTAGCACAGGCCACACAAAAGTGACCACAGAGAGAAGATTTGAAAAGGAGGGAGAAGTGAGGATAACAATTTCGATACAGGGATGAATCTAAACAATTGAGTCTGAAACACGATGAGAGAAAGTGGGAATAAAAATAAAGACCATTATCTCAGTCACAGGAGGACAAGTGGCATGGTGCCACTGTTGTAGAAAAGTGACTGACATCAGGGTTGGGGTAAAACTGGATAGATTATGTATACTGAATTGAAACAGATGAGGGAAAGAACAGTTTAAAAGTGACATATGATAGCATATTATGATTATTACATGAATCCAGAATTAAGGTTGCATAGTGGAGTGCATTTGGGGCAGGGGGATTGTATACAAACGAAGAAGTTTATCTTTTACTTTTTAGAGAGGAGCGAACTAGGGGGAGTAAAGAAAAAAGTGCAACAATGAATGAATGAAAATCCAAAATCTCTGTAAATGTTCATTAAAATAAAATAAAATTTTAAAAACAAAGACCAGCGTACAAGTCATGGGAGAAAAGAAGGGAGTTGTTTTAAGATGC